CACTGCAGGGGTCGGGGCGTTAACAGGTGCCTGTCTCCCGGTCCTCTGCTCTGGGAGGGGCGGGGCGGGGCCGCTCTTTGGAGTTGACTCAGCTTTTCCTGTCTGGCTGGTCAAGTTGAGACAAGTTTGGCGTCGCCTGTTGGAGGAGCTAAGTCCTGACTTGCCTCCCGCTGGAGCTATTTAAACCCTGTCGTTCTCCGCAGCTGTGTGCTGGCGAGCGGAGAGGGGACACCTGGGACCTCCCCGGCCACGACGACGGAGCCTCTCCTGCGTGGATCGAGGTGAGGAACAGCCCGCTTAATGTCTCCTTTGTGATTTTTCGCACGTATCTTACCATTTCAAGTTTTTATCGTGTGTGTGTTTTCTTTTTTCTCCCCTACTTGTAGGCCAATGTGCAATACCAGCATGTCTGTGTCTACTGATGGTGCCGAAAGCACCTCACAGATTCCAGCTTCGGAACAAGAGACTCTGGTTGGTATTTTTGTCTTGAGTGTGCAAAAGTAACTTATTTTTTTTTACCAGGTAATCAATAACTTTAAACCCAAATTAGAGCACAGATCTTAAAATGTAACCATGTATTTTAAATAGAAATTGTTTTTCGCTTGAATTAGAGAATTAACAGCAAGAACCTGTGTTGTTGTTGGGTTTTTTTTTTTTTTTGTTGTTTGTTTGTTTGTTTCCGAGACAGGGTTTCTCTGTATTGCTTTGGAGCCTATCCTGGAACTCCCTGTGTAGACCAGGCTGGCGTTGAACTCACAGAGATTCTCCTGTCTCTGCCTCCCGAGTGCTAGGATGAAAGGCGTGTGCCACTACCGCCCGGCAAACCTGTGTTTTCAAACTTGGAAAATGAGTTCCATTACCTCAGGTGTGGATGCTGACGCTTATGACATGCGTTTTCTGGTTTGTCCTATCACTGTTTAACTTTTTAAATAATAACCCGAAAGTCACAGAATGTGTGCTTCTGTGAAGACTTTAGTCACTATAGAAATGCATGAAATAAAAATTCAAAGTTCCAGTCTTTGCTCTATATCTTTAAAGTTTCCTATTCTGTATTAACATACAAAGGTGTTGTACAGTTGTCACTGAGCTACAGGATTACTTTTAATGGCTGCTTAGCATTTGCTAACATGAGTGCACCATTTGAACAGTTTTCTTGTTTGCTTTTGGTGTCAGGCATTGAGCCCCACCCAGCCTTTGGGGTGTGGGTGCATAAGTACTCTCCCACTGGGCTGAGCTACAGTCTTACCTTATGACCTGCTGGTAGATGTAAAAGTCCTCTCCTGTTTGTGAGCAGAATAAGTATGTGATTATTCTGTAAGAAAGATAGGGCGATAGAAACCCTAAGACCTGAATAAACACAATTGATTGCTACCTGGTAACTGGTTCAGCAAAAGGTTATGATAGTCTTTAAGCTTGTCAGCACTGAATCAACCAACCTTTCTTCCCTCCCTCCTTCCCTCCTTTCTTTCCTTCCCCCCTCCCTCCCTCCCTTCCTCTCTCGATGTAATTTTGTACATATTGTGAAGAATAATATAATTTGGTACATGCATGCAAATCAAGGTAGTTAACTTTCCATTTCCTTAGACATTTATCATTTCTTTGTTGTAAATCTTCAGACTCCTCTTCTAGTTCTTTATAAAATATCTCATAAGACTGTGAGCCAATTCCTATACTTACTGGACTGTTTCACTATATATGCCCCAGACCTCTCGTGAGGCAACACATCTTTATCCTGAGGTTTGCCCAATATCTCTTTCTTTAATTCCCCTCTTCCTTCCCTCTCCCTTTCTCCTTTTTCTCCCTCTTTCCCTCATCCCTTTTTGCATTTTTCTTGGTATCTTGTATAACTCTTCTATGCATTTCAAGTATAGTTATTATTTTAGTACTGTATGCAACTTGATGTTGTCTTCTCCACTGACAATATTTTTATGGAGTCAGACTTGTCTGTTTGAATGGCTTTTGAATTTTCTTACAGTGCTTTGAAAGAATTCCTCCATTTCATGATTATGTACATATTTATCGTATTTTCATGTAGCATTTTCAAACGTTGTTGGGGGCAGGTCGTGGTTTGAGACAGGGTTTCTCTCTGTAGCTCTGGCTGTCCTAGAACTCACTCTGTAGACGACTGGCTTCTTTGAACTTTCAGAGATCCTCCTGCCTCTACCTCTTGAGATTATGTCACCACCACCTGGAGCATTTTAAAACTTTTACATGTAGATCTTTACACAGAATTGACTTTTTTATTAAGTATAAGATTACAAAGAGTGTTATCTTTTTTTTTTTTTTTTAGATTTTATTTATTTATTATGTATACAACATTCTGCTTCCATGTATATCTGCACACCAGAAGAGGGCACCAGATCTCATAACGGATGGTTGTGAGCCACCATGTGGTTTCTGGGAATTGAACTCAGGACTTCTGGAAGCGCTGTTGGTGCTCTTAACCTCTGAGCCATCTCTCCAGCCCAAGAGTGTTGTCTTTTAATAGTAATTTGTCTTGTTTTTAAACCAACTCTTGTAAGCCTTTCCATTGTAGTTTTGATTTGAGTTAATAATAATGAGATGCTTGCTTGGGTACATGTGCTAAAATTGACACACTACAGAGAAGAATAGCATGACTTCTGCATAAGTGACATGAGAATTAAGTAATTTTCAAATCTTTCAAGAGTAGTTTGTTGGTTTTTTTTTTTTTTAAGGGGGTTTCTCTGTGTAGCCTAGATTGCCCTGGAACTCACTCTGTAGACCAGACTGGCCTTGAATTCACAAGAACCACCTGCCTCTGCCTCCCAAGTGCATGAGCCACCTCGCCTGGTTTAGCCTTTGTCTTCTGAGTGCTGGGAATAAAGACATGTATCACCATGCCTGGCTGGTTCCCATTTCTGTTTTAAAACTTTTTCTTTGTTTTTGAGATTAAAATTATACCATTTCTCCCTTCTGATTCCATTATCGAAAGCCTCCAATATACCTTTTCTTTCCATTCTTTTTTTCTTAAGATTATAATTTTATGTAGCTGGGTGTACAGTGTGTATGTGCATGGTGCTTGCAGAAGTCTTAGAAGGAATTAGATCTTCTGGAATATGAGTTACAGACATCTGTGAGCTGCCATTTGGGTGCTGGATGGGAATGAAACCTGGGTCCTAAGGAAGAGCAGTCAGTACTCTTAACACTGAGCTACTTATCCAGCCTCTCTTTCTCATTGATTTTTATCACACACACACACACTCACTCACACACTCTCACACTCACACATACTTACTTTTCTAAATACAACTTGCTATGTGTGAACAATTCCATTTGTATGTATGTTTTCAGGGCTGACCATTTGGTATTTGATAACATTTGTGCGCTCTTGAGGAGTAAATGCACTTTTAAAAGAACATTTTAAAACTGCTAGAAATAGTCTTTAAAAGAAAAAAGTTGACTGGAGAGATGGCTCAGAGGTTAAGAGCATTGGCTGCTCTTCCAGAGGCCCTGGTTCAATTCTAGGCAATCACATGGTTCTTCATAACCATCTCTAATGAGATCTGGTGCCCTCTGGTGTGCAGGCATACAAACAGGCAAAACATTATACATAAAAATGAATACACCTTTAAAAGAAGAAATGTGGAGAGAGGGCTCAGCAGTTAAGTGCTCTTGCAAAGGACCCAGGTTTGATTCCCAGAACAAAGTCGCTCAACCTTCTTGTGCCAATTCCAGAGGATCCTGGGCCCTCTCTTGGTCTCCACAGGCACTGTATGCACATAGTGCACTTACATACATGCATGTAGGCTACATACCAATACACTATAAATAAAAGTTAAAAAAGAAACAAAAATATGCCGGGCATTGGTGGCATATACCTTTAGTTCCAACACTCTGGAGTCAGAAGCCAGCCTGGTCTACAGAGAGAGTTCCAGGACAGGTTCAGGTTCCAAAGCTACATGGAGAAACCCTGTCTCAACCTGCGCCCCAAAACAAAACACCGAAAATATGTTCTGATAGGGAAAAACAGCTAAGTGACTAGGAGCACTGGCTACTCCTCAGGGACCTGGCTTCCATTCTCAGTACCCACGTGATGGCTCACAACCATCTGTAACACACAGTTCTAGGTGATTTGACACGCTTTCTGGCCTCCCTGGGGACCAGGGACATGAATGGTACACATAAATACATGCAGGTAAAATATCCAAAGGTTGTCCTTGTGGGCACCCCGTAGTTACAGAACATGGCTAATAGGAGCCATGATCATTAAAGCTGTAAACAATAGGAGCAGCTTCAGAGCAGTGCTTGACTGATGGTAAAACTGTGATTTCAGACTTAGGTGGCTGTAGCAAGTTCAGTGCCACTTTATCATGGTGCTTTTTGGTGTTGCTGTACAGGTGGATACTGGCTGCTAGGCTGGGCTCACCAGCTGCTCTGTGGGCCATACTTGTCAGTTAGGTGGCAGTTGTCCAATTTTCTTCTTTTACACATTTTTATGTGTATGAATGTTCTGAATGCCTGTGTATATGTGTACCATGTGGATGCCTGGTGCCTGCAGAATCCAGAAGAGGCTGTCAGATCCCTTGAAACTCAAGTTATAGATAGTTTTGATCTATCATGTGAGTGCTGGAAACCAAACCCAGGGCCTCTGTAAGCAGCAAGTGCTCTTAACCCCTAAGCTTTTCTTCAGCCCCACCAGTTAATATCTTACTACTGGGAAAGGTAGATTAGAGTCAGACAGACTGTAGCTTCTAGGAAAATGTGACCTGGTGGGAACTCCCTCTGTAAACCAGACTGACCTTGAACTCACAAGAGATAGTCAGCCCCTGCCTGGTACTAAAGGCATGTACCACCACTGTCCAGCTTGACCTGTCCCATGTTGTTCTCCCCCTCCCCCTCCAGGGTTTCTATGTGACTTTGGAGGCTGTCCTTGTAGACCAGGCTGGTCTTGAACTCACAGAGATCCACCTGTCTCTGCCTCCCGAGTGCATGGTCTTTGCTGCCTTTTTTGGGCTGCTTTCTGGACAGACTTGCAGGGCTTATGCTATAGAGTGCTTTTATGGGTGTTAACAGCAGCTCTTCTTTTCTTTTACAGGTTAGACCAAAACCATTGTTTCTGAAGTTGTTAAAGTCTGTCGGTGCACAAAAAGATACCTATACTATGAAAGAGGTGAGCGGAACTGAGAGATAGGGAACTGATATCCTAATAGTCACAGCTGTATGTAGTAGTTTTCAAGTTTGTGGGTGAGATTGTCCATTGGGTGAGAAAGAATTTGTAGAAAGTAGGGACATTATTTTGTGACCATTTGAACTATATTTTGAAGCTAAAAATACTAATTTGTATGACTTTCTTTTTTTGAGACAGTGTCTCTCTGTAGCTGTGATTATCTTGGAACTCACTATGTAGACCAGACTGGCCTCTAACTCACAGAGATCCTTCTGCCTCTGCCTCCCAAGTGCTGGGATTAAAGGTGTGTGTTACCACACTTAGCAGTGCATTTCATTTTTTTAAACTGGAAAGCCAAACAGAAAGAAATAGTATAGAATTCTTAGTGTTTTGGGCTATGAACTCATTTGGCAAACTGGTGAAAGTCTCATATCTGTCCATAACTTCTCAGAATCATTTAAATTCATAACAGTAAGCAAATTCGTGATAATATACTTTTTACTTGTTTGAGACAGGGTTTCTCTGTATTACTTTGGAGCTTGTACTGGCACTCACCCTGTAGACCACGCTGGCCTCGAATTCACGGAGATCCGCCTGCCTCTGCCTCCCAGGTGCTGGGATTAAAGGTGTGAGCCACCATTACCTAGCTATTTTTTACTTGTTTTTTAATTTTTAAAGCTTTATTTATGTGGGAGTATGTACATGCACAGTGGAGATTAAAGGACATTTTAAGGGTATCAGTTCTCTCCTCCCAAGTCACTCCTGGGTAACCAAATAAGGGTCATCTGGCTTGGCAGGAAGCACCTTTACCTTTTGAGCCATCTCACCTGCCCAGTATATGCCTTTAAATTAAGAAAATACAGTAAGTTTAATACATTTGATTTTAATGTGGTGAGGAATAAAAGATTATGTTGATGTGCATGCTTGAGGCAAACACATTTTGATCAAAAACATTTTGATATTTATTGGTGACAAAAATCACTTACAAATATTATAGTTTATTGCCTATCTTCATAATTGAGGGGAAAACTAAAATTGAAGATTTACCCCCCCCAATCCAAATTGTTGGATTCCCTAAATTTTATCCAAGGACTTCTTGGGTATCCCTGGGTCCCAGGTTGGAACTTGTACTCTGGAGCTACATGAGTACAGCATAGTGTACTTAAGTTCTCAGATGAGCTGATTCATCAGCCTGTGTCCTGTCTCATGGATACAACGTTGTAATGTTGTTTTGCTTAAAGTATGCTGGGCAGATTTAGACAGAATTTCAGTGTGAGTGAGATACAAGTGTTTCTTATCTTTACTTAAAACACTATTGTGACAGGTTAGTGGGACAGGAAGAGACTCCCAAATCTTGTCTTCAGCTATAAGGTTAGAAACATCTCAGGATCCTTTGTAGGAGGAACCTAATCCTTCCTGTTTGACCCATTACCTGTCAGCAGCAACTGTGATCCATGGACGCATACAAACATTCCTTTAGGATTGATGGGCCCCTGCTTAGCTACCAAGTCTCATAAGTGTTAAGTGATGTTTTATGGTCAATAACTGGATTGACCTTTATAAAATTAGTTAAGGAAACAAAGTATGGATTTAGTAGTAGATAGACTAGAAAATTGATCAAGGCCATCAAAAAGATGTAATGCTTGTACCAAGCTGTATGCAGTGGCTCAGTGGTCTTCCTTTACTCTCCGAAGGGTATTGGTTCGAGGACCCTGCCTTCTAAGTCCCTTATTTATTCATTTTAAGATTTATTTATTATGTATACAGTGTTCTGCCTGCATGTATGCCTGCTGGCCAGAAGAGGGTGCCATATCTCATTACAGATGGTTGTGAGCCACCTTGTGGTTGCTGGGATTGAACACAGGACCTCTGGAAGAGCAGCCAGTGCTCTGAACCTCTGAGCCATTTCTCCAGCCTTCCTTAAGTTATCTCTAGATTACCTATAAACATTAGACAGTTGTTAATGCTGTATTATTTAAGGAGTATTGACGAGGAAAAACATTTCCATGTTTAGGACAAATCCCTGGATGAATGGTGGAGGTGGGACTTAGAGTAGTTTATATTGTCTGCACTAGTTTTCAGTTACAAGATCTTTATCCTGGGGCACTTGAGAGAGTAGTGAAAACCAGTGTAAGTGCACTGGAATGCAGTCAGTCCTAGGGTCGTTTCCTCATTTTTTTTTTTAAAGATTATTTATTTATTATGTATACAACATTTTGCTTCCATGTATATCTGCACATCAGAGGACGGCACCAGATCTCATAACGGATGGTTGTGAACCACCATGTGGATGCTGGGAATTGAACTCAGGACCTCTGGAAGAGCAGTCAGTGCTCTTAACCTCTGAGCCGTCTCTCCAGCCCTCCTTATCTTTTTTTATGCTTGCTTCTTTTTTGGTGGTGCTGGGTGTCAGAAACGAAGTGGTAACCTCTTCATTTCTGTAGAGTGATAACAACTGTGTGGTGTCCGGATGGTAAGACTGCACTGACAGCTGCACTGTGCACTGTATAGCGTGCTCACAGATTTATGTTTTTGGGCTTCTTTGGGATAACGGAAAGTATGTGGCTAAAGCTGAGCTAATGGAGCATATGGAATATCATTTAATAGTAATAGTAATAGTTGGGGCCATGGACTAGTTAGGTAGATCACTTCATAACTTTGAATTATTCTGTTCCTCTGGGATAACTAAAGAGCTGTTGAAGTATATGTTTGTGACATTTGTCATTGCTCTAATTCACTGCCATATTTTAGTTGATTTTTTTTTTTCCTTCAATTTTTTTCCATTTTTGCCTCCCTTTCCTAGTATGTTAGTATCTAGATTTCTGGGCAGAATCAAAGTTTATGAGAAAGAAAGAAAAACAAGAAATATTTGAGTAATAAGGAGAAACAGTTATTTCTATTTTCATCAACATGAATGTGTTCAGAGGAGCTGCTTCCAGACACAAACTGTACATGATTGTGGGTATGATTTAGATAAGTGGGTATTTCTAAAAGTGTGTAGAGCTGATGTTTAGTTTTCTTTAATACTTAGAAACCTTATTTCTATTTCAGATTATATTTTATCTTGGCCAGTATATTATGACTAAACGATTATATGATGAGAAGCAGCAACATATTGTGTATTGTTCAAATGATCTTTTAGGAGATTTGTTTGGAGTGCCAAGCTTCTCTGTGAAAGACCACAGGTAAATAAAGTCAGTAAAGCTGCAGCTCACCTCTGTCTCTCCCTGTGTCAGAGAGAGACTAAAACTGTGTATGCAAATGACAGGATGGGGTTTCAGTTTGGTTGCTTTATTGCCCTTAACACTCCTCCTGGTCCTGTCCCTAATATTTGGGGTGGAGGTGGGGGTTAGTATGTTGTTTGAGAACCTGAACTCTGGAATCTTAGAAATCCACTATTGGGTTGGTTGGTTGGTAGTTTTAATTGTGCATGTGCCATTGGGTATGGAGTTGAGAAGCCATCAAGGAGTCAGCCCTCCTCCCACCATGTGAGTCCAGGCATTAGTTGTGTGGGTGTGTAAGTGGATCTGACTTCTCTCAGCCTTAGGTTCTCTGTTTGTAATTTTTCTTTTCCTTACAAGGAAAATACATATAATGATCTACAGAAACTTGGTGGTCGTAAGTCAGCAAGGTAAGTTAATTTTGAATACTATGAAAGTACTGAAACTTTAAAGACCTTTTTGATTCAAGGTCTCATGTGTTCTAGTCTAACCTCAAACTCACAATGTAGCTGAGAAAGCTGAGCTTTTAAAAAAAAAAATTTTTTTTTTTTTCGAGACAGGGTTTCCCTGTGGCTTTGGAGGCTGTCTTGGAACTAGCAATTGTAGACCAGGCTGGTCTCAAACTCAAAAAGATCGCCTGCCTCTGCCTTCCGAGTGCTGGGACTAAAGTCATGCTTTTAAAAAATTGAGTAGCTTATTGTGTGTGTATATGATAGGCATCTGTGGTGTGGGCCTCTGCCTTCCGAGTGCTGGGACTAAAGTCGTGCTTTTAAAAAATTTGAGTAGCTTATTGTGTGTGTATATGATAGGCATCTGTGGTGTGGGACACAGGTACCATGATGTACATGTGAAAGTCAGAAAACAACTTCATGGAATTGGTTCTCTTTATGTGGGTTCTAGAGATCCACCTCAGACCTTCAGGCTTACAGGCAAGCATGTTATCTTCTGAGCCATCTCACCACCCCTCCCCCCCAAAAAAGCAAAAACCCCTTTTAAGAGTGCTTTCCTTGAATATGTGCAGTTGTGACTGTACCCCTTAGCACTGTAAAATAAAAGGTAAAACAAAACATCACAGAGATGTTGTTACCATGTGCATGTATTTTGTATTTCTGGTTTTCTTATTTTTTTAGTCAGCTCTTTCAGTGCCCACTAATTTTTTTAAAAATTATTATTCATTCTTATGTGTGTCAGTGTTTTGACTTCATGTGTGTCTATACCATAGGGACGCTGTCAAGTCTTGGAGTTACAGATGGTCGTGAGCTGTTGTGTGGGTGTTGGAAATTGGATTGAGAGTCTGGAATAGTAGCCAGTGCTCTTAACCATTGAGCCATAATTCTAGTCTCTGTTTACTTTTTTTTTTTTTTTTTTTTTTTTTTTTTTTTTTTTTTTTTTGAGATTGGATCCTTGTAAATTACTCAGACTGATTTGGAACTGTCTTCCTGCTTTCCTCCAAGTAGCTGGGATTACAGTCCACATGGCATTCATTCATTTATTCAGCACTGCTGGGAATTGAACACAGGGTCCCATCTGTGCTTGGAAAGTGTTGTACTAGTTAGCTGCCTTGACAGCTCTATGGTTCATTCTCATTCTTTCTTCAAAAATTAAAAATGCTGGGAGGTGGTGGCATGTGTCTTTTTAATTCCAGCCTTCAGAAGGTAGAGACCTGAGTTCAAGGCCAACCTGGTCTACAAAGTGAGTTCCAGGACAGCCAGAGCTGTTAGACAAGGAAACCGTGTCTTGAACCCCCACCCCCACCCCCAGTTAAAAACAAGGTTTTTCATTTTATGTATATGGGTGTTTTGCTGTATGTATGTCTGTGTACCTCTGGTGTACAGTGCCCAGAGACCGAAGAACAGCATTGATCTCCTAGGACTGGAGACTATTGTGAGTGAGCTGCTCTTGGAAGAGCATCCAGTGCTCTCAACCTCGAGAACCATCACTCCAACCTTCTTTTGAGAAACATTTCATTATGAAGCCTGGTGTGATGAATGCCTTCAATCTCAGCACTTGGGAGGCAGAGGCAGATGGGCCTGTCCAGTCATGTCTACATAATGAGACCCTGTCTCAAAGGAAAACAAAAGAAAAGATTTCATTTATGCATGTGTCCCTGTATGTGGGTATGTGCACATAAGTGCAGGTGTCCACAGAGTTGTTAGATTCTCTGGAGCTGGAGTTACAGGTGATTTTTGATCCATCTGACATGCTTTCTGGGACACTGAACTTAGGTTCTCTGTAAGAGCAGTATGTGCTTTTACCCACTGAGCCATCTTTCCAGTCCCAGGAGTTTCCTTAAAAACAACAAAACCTTACATTTATTTGTGTGTCTATGAGCATTTTATGTGCTATGATGTGCATTTGGAAGTCAAATGACAACTTGGGGTCAGTTCCCCTTCTATCCTGTGGGTCCTGAAGATGAAACTCTGGGTTGAACTCAGGTCGTCAGGCTTGACAGTGAGTGCCCTTACTTCCTAAGCCATCTTGCCCCGTGATTCTGGGCCTCCTGAGTGCTGGCATTAAAGACTTCCGCCACCACCACCCAGCTGTATATAGGAGTTTTATGATTGCTCCCTGGGGAGAATAGTTGTGAGTTTATTTCTTAAACTAAAACCCTTTTAGTGGTGAAAGATTCCCAAATGGCCTTAAGCAAGTTTATATAACAGCTTAAATAACAGCTCAGAAGAATGACATCTTGTGTTACTTGGCTGAGCACACGTGGCTCCTTGCACAGTGACCCTGCTTCCATTCCAGTAACAACGAATTAGTCTTATTTTGTGCCACAGGAAATGTTTGTGTCTGGATGCTTTTTTATATACTGTTTTTTTCTTTTTTTTTTTTCTTTTTTTTTTTTTTTCTGTCACAATGTCTTTCATACTCCAGCTTGGGCATAGGCTATTACAGTTTTTTGTTTTTGTTTTTGTTTCCCCAAGACTGTCCTGGAACTCACTTTGTAGACCAGACTTTTTTAAAGTTGAATTTATCTCCAGATTTTAGCATGCAAATGACACTTGGGACATACATGGTTAATATTTGTTGAAAGATTAAACTTTGTGCAGGGCTGTGTTAGACTGGTCTGGTGTATGTTGAATTCTTTCTTGTTCTTTGTTTTGAGTAAGTTTTTACTTTCTTTTATTAGGGTCTTCAGACTCAGGCACATCAGTGAGTGAGAGCAGATGTCAGCCTGAAGGTGACAGTGAACAGAAGGTAATAGTTAAATTCATTTTTTTCTTTCTTTTTTTTTTTAAGATTTTTTACTTATTATATGTACAGTCTTCTGCCTGCACACCAGCAGAGGGCACCAGATCTCATAACTAACGGATGGTTGTGAGCCACCATGTGGTTGCTGGGAATTGAACTCAGGACCTATGGAAGAACAGTCAGTGCTCTTAACCGCTGAGCCATCTCTCCAGCCCCTAAATTCATTTCTTACTCTAATACAATGTTTCTTTTTTTCTTTTTTGGGTTTTTTTGTTTGTTTGTTTGTTTGTTTCCCCCAAGTCAGGGTTTCTCTGAGGCTTTGGAGGCTGTCCTGGACTAGCTCTTATAGAACAGGCTTGAACTCACAAGTGCTGGGACTAAAGGCATGCACCACCAACACCTGGCTACAATGTTTCTTTTTAAAAAATCTTTGAGTGTGTTTGTCTATGAGTGTGTGAGCATGTGTGTGCATCCTCCTCGGGCCAGAAGATGATGTCATATCACCTGGAGCTGGAGTTACAGGTGGTTGTGAGCTGCTCCAGACATTAGTGATGGAAACCAAAGTTATCCAGGCAGGAACAGTACATGTTCTTAATCTCTGAGCCATCTCTCCAGCTTCATGACAGATAGTTCTGGAAAGTTGAGGTTACATAAAACAGAACTTGGATGAGCATGTGCTGTGTTTGTCATATTTTATGTTTTCTTGTGTATTTAGGACCCCGTGCAAGAGCCACAAGAAGAGAAGCCTTCTTCAGATTCAGTTTCTAGACCGTCTACCTCATCTAGAAGGAGAACAATTAGTGAGACAGGTATATATGACTAATTATTTGATTGGGGGGTTCTTCCTCTAATGCAGCAGTTCTCAACCTGTGGATGGAGACCTCTTTTGGGGTCAAATGATCCTTTCACAGGGGTGGCCTGAGAATGTCAGAAAACACAAATATTTACATTATGATTCTCTTTTTAAAAATCTAGTGATTTTTTTTTAAAAAGATTTTATTTATTTATTATCTATACAGTCTTCTGCCTGCGTGCCAGCAGAGGGCACCAGATCTCATTCAAAGTGGTTGTGAGCCACAATGTGGTTTCGGGGAATTGAACTCAGGACCTCTGGAAGAACAGTCAGTGCTCTTAACCACTGAGCCATCTCTCCAGCCCCTACATTATGATTCTTAACAGTAGCAAAATTATAGTTAAGTAGCAACATCAAGAACCATGTTTAAAAGGTCGCAGTATTAGGAAGGTTGAGAACTGCTTTAGAGTCCCAAATTTTGGTTCTTTTAGTAAAAGGATGTGAAGTCTTGTTTTCTGTATTAATTAATTCTTGAGACCGAATCCCTATATAGACAAGGCTGGCCCCAAACTCAAGAGATTGACCTGCCTCTGCCTCCCAGGAGTTAGGATTAAAGGTATGCATAGTCTTTGGGGGGGGGGCCCTGGAACTCACTCTGTAGATCAGGCTGGCCTCGAACTCACAGAGATTCGTCTTCCTCTGCCTCCCGAGTGCTGGGATTAAAGGCTTTCGCCACCAATGCCCGCCTGCATAGTCTTTATTTTTAAAGCTTGGTGTTGACAGAGAAACTGTATATTGTTGGGGCAGAAAAGCTCTACATGGATTAAGTGTATTGTAACTTGTGGAGGTAAAGTTCAGGAAAAATATTGGAAGCTTTTAAATGTACTTAGCTGAACAGATCGAGTGAGCCACTTGACTTTTGGGATGTAAATGATTGACTTTGTGTTTAAATTAATTGAATTTAAATTTTGTTACAAACAGGTAGCCACAATATAGGGATTTAACTACCCATTTTCCCTTAATATATAGAAGAAAACGCAGATGAGCTACCTGGTGATCGACAGAGGAAGCGCCACAGGTCCCTTTCCTTTGATGAAAGCCTGGCTTTGTGTGTGTTACGAGAGATATGCTGTGAAAGAAGCAGCAGCAGCGAGTCCACAGAGCCCCCCTCAAATCAGGTAGGCTTGTGGTGGACGCTGTGATAAAATGTCACATTCCACAGGGGTTAGGGTCCCATCATGGTGGGGCAGGGGCAGGGGCAGGAGGGAGGCATGGTTTTCGGATAAGGAAGCTGAGAATGTATCCATAACAGCAAGCATGAAGCAGAAAGACTAAACTGGAAATTGCCAAGGCCTTTTTAATCTCAAAGCTCTCAAACAGTGCCCATCCAAACCACCACACTAGTTATATGGTAGTGTCTCTACAACCATTGTCACTATTTTTAATTGTGTGTGAGTATGTGCACAAGTGTGTGCATGTGTCCTCAAGAGTCCAGAAGAGGATGTCAGATTCCCCTGGAGTTGTAAGCCCGTTAAAGTAGTGATGGGACCTGAACTGCAAGAGTGGTGTGTGTCCTGTTCTTCAACAGCTGAACTGTTCTCCAAAATACAGCTCAAGGAAGTTTGTTTTCTCCTTCTGCCATGTGGGTCCCAGGGATAGAGAATTCAGCACCTCAGTCTTGGAATCGTTACCCATAAGCCATCTCTCTGGCCCCCAATAGTATTCATAGTTTTCATAATACTGAAGAACCAAAGGGTTGTTAAATAACATAGAGTTAACCATTTGGATTCGGTCAGCTTTGATCCCTGTTAGGTTGTCTTAATGTGGAAATGCATCTGTAGATGTGTAGATAGACAGGCACAGCTTTGTTCAGGAAAGATTTATTTATAAAAATACGGTGGTGTGATGGCTTGCAGACCACTGCTGCAGAAAGTAGCCTCCAAAGCCACAGAGGAAACCCCCCCCCCATAAAAAAAGAAAGTAGGTCTGATACTAAAGAGTTGAGTCGGTCACTAGAGATGTAACTGACTGTCCTGTCTTGTATCAATGGATTTCCTCAGGAATTAGAGCTAGTTCTTGATGATTTGTGTACTGTTAAGCAACATTACTTGAAAGTCTTTACTTAGAAATATATAAAATAATAGTTTATTTTTGTAATCCTTTCACACCTCAAGAGACTGTCAGTATTCTCTACAAGTTAAATATGTCTGAAGTTAAACAGCTTTTTGGCAGCAAATTGAGAATGCCTGTCTCCTGACTCTTAATGTGTTTTTCTCAGTTATCGATCAAGATCCACTTTCTGATCAGTTTAGTGTAGGGTTTGAAGTTGGATTTCTTATTAGACTGATCTCTATTTAATCCTGGCTCTTGCCTGTCCTCTGTAGACTAGGCTAGCCTTCCCCCCTCCCCCCAATGCTAGGGTCAAAGGTGTGTGCCACCATACCCTGCCTTGTAGTTGAATTTCTTGATTCAGAAGATTTACAGCCTTAGCATAGAGAGACAGCATTAGGTTCTGAAGCTGTGAGTTATTAAATACTAAAATGAGGGTCAGTTGAAAGTACACAGAACTTAAATAAATTTTAAAAAATTCTTAAAGCTTTTCATATCAAGTTATTCTGAAAGTTTATTTAAAAACAAATACACCATTGCTGGGCTGGCAGCATCAGCTTTTAATCCTAGCATTCAGAAAGTAGAGCCAGGCTGAGCTCTTTGAGTTAACAGCTAATAAGTATGGTCTACATATCAAGTTCTAGGCAGCCAGGGCTACATAGTAAGAGCCTGTCTCAAAAGAAAAAAAAAAAAAAAACCCAAATACCAGATTTGCATTTATCCTTCCTTCCTGTTTTTCTTTTTCTCTCTTTCTTTTCTTTTTCGTTTTTCGAGACAGGGTTTCTCTGTGTAGCTTTGGAAGCCTATCCTGGCACTCGATCCGAGACCAGGCTGGCCTTGAACTCACAGAGCTCTGCCTGCCTCTGCCTCCCGAGTGCTGGGATTAAAGGCGTGTGCCACCAACTCCCTGCTGGGAGTGGGATTTAGAAACTCAATTTATCTTATGAGGGAAAGTTAGTGTCAGGGTTAGGAAACTGATCTGGCTAGAGTGTGGGTGTTGAGTAGGGTGGAGGGTGGGTTTAGCTGGAGGCATTTGAAAATGTTAAAGCAGTCATAATGAGTGTAACTTCAGTGCTAAGGGCCCTTGACCTTTTTCCTTTGTGTAGTAGAATTTTGAGTTGGGAAGATTCAATATTAATGTAATAACCTTGAACCTTAACCTTGCGCCAGTCCTGTAATGGCACAGGATGAATTAAGAAGCTCTTACTGAGGCCCAGAGGCAGTGTACTTAAGTTCACTTTATTGTTTCTCTATAGGATCTTGACGATGGTGTAAGTGAACACTCAGGTGACTGGTTGGATCAGGATTCGGTTTCCGATCAATTCAGTGTAGAATTTGAAGTTGAGTCTCTTGACTCAGAAGATTACAGCCAGAGTGAAGGAGGGCAGGAGCTCTCAGATGAGGATGATGAGGTGGGTCTCCGGGCTGGTCAGTTTTTAATAAGACTGAAGATGGTGGGATACATGGGGGTGGGGGTGGGGGGGTGTATATTCAGACTCCCTTCATCCTGGGTTTTTGATTTGTGGACTTAAGGCAAAAGTATAGTTTCTTTTTGCCTGGTTTGTTATAGTCTTATATTACTAAGTCAGAAACTTAGACTTTGGTGTTCATTCTTGTAATAGCCTGCCCACACACTTCTCCATTTGGCTCTCCCACTTACTTATTCATTTGTTTGTGTAAGACAGTATCAACATGTGGCCCTGGTGACCCTGAACTGGCTACGTAGACCAGGCTGGCTTAGAATCCACAGTGATCTGCCTGCTTCTGCCGCCTCTGCCTCCAGAGTATGAGGATCAAAGGCAAGCACCACCACTTCGTTGTTTTTTTTTTTTTTTTTTTTTTTTTTTTTTTTTTTTTCCCGAGACAGGGTTTCTCTGTGTAGCTTTGGAGCCTATCCTGGCACTTGCTCTGGAGACCAGGCTGGCCTCCAACTCAGAGATCCGCCTGCCTCTCTGCCTCCCGAGTGCTGGGATTAAAGGTGTGCGCTACTAACGCTGGCTAAGCACCACCACTCTATCCCTCCCTTTTTAGTACTAATTTGTTTTTTTGTTTGTTTTCTTTTTTTTGGTTTTTCGAGACAGGCTTTCTCTGTGACTTTGGAGGCTGTCCTGGAACTAGCTCTTGTAGACCAGGGTGGCCTCAAACTCAGAGATCCACCTGCCTCTGCCTCCAGAGTGCTGGAATTAAAGGCATGTGCCACCACCGCCCGGCTTGTTTGTTTTTAAGATTTCTTTATTTATTAGGTATATAGTGTTCTGCTGCCTGCAGGCCAGAAAAAGGCACTCATTACAGGTAGTTGTGAGCCACCATGTGGTTGCTGAGAGTTAAATGCAGGACCTTTGGAAGAGCAGGCAGTCTTAACTGCTGAGCCATCTCTTCAGTCCCCTGTTAATTTGTTTTTCACAAACATAAAATATGCAACAAACAGTTAAAAGTGTCAGTACCTGTGTATCTCTCTCTTGGGTATCACTATACCTTTAACATTTCTCATTGTTTTCTGGTTAATAACTCTGAATTTATAAAGTAGGCTTTCTTGAATATTTTGTTTGGTTTAAGTATTTAACAACTCTTACCATGGTGGGTGAAGAGTTTACTGTCCTACATTTTCTACTTGATTGGAATTGAGTTTGACTTTCCCATTAGAACTTCTCATGGACAGTAGTGGCTCATGCTGTTTCTTTAGGACTTACTAAGAATTCAGCTTTCTTGGTTAAAAGGTTGGTAAATTGATGCTAATAAATTTGTCTTATTAGGTCTATCGAGTCACAGTGTATCAATCAGGAGAAAGTGATGTAGACTCCTTTGAGGGAGATCCTGAAATCTCATTAGCTGTAAGTATTCAGATACTTGACAGAAATACAAACAATGCTTACTTAGATCAGAACTGTGAAAATGTGCTTAATTTACTTAAAATGAGGCAATTTTATACAGTTAAAACTTTTCAACTCTTATGACTTAGAATATTTTCCTTCTTTGTTATAGTGGGATCTGTTGCCATATTTATTTGGTTTTATGGGGTGGAATTTAAAACTTGAATATATTGGACCCATTGAAACATCCATTCCTGCCTGGTAAAACCTTTATGTATGGTTTTGGGTAAGAGTGGAAGCCACACTCAATAAGAATCAAGGAGTCAGTGTGGGAAAGTATATAGACTACCCCCATTGCTTGTGTATTAGGCTGCTTGCTGGGCAGTGTAAACTGGAATGTATTTATTCGGGGTACACTAGGAAGTGTCTTCAGGTAAAACTCATCCTTCGGTTATGAAGGATGTAGGATATGTTCATTGATAAGGCAGAGATATGGAAGAGTTTGTCTTTCTAGTTGTGTAAAGAGAATTTGGATAAGGGGATACACTGAGCAGTTAGAATACAGGAGGCGATTGACAAGGAAGGGCAAATAGTTTGAATTGTGGTCAGAGTGGTAGATTTGAGCTCTAGTAGCTGACAATATTGTTGTCTTATGGATGAAAAAGGGGTGTTCAGTTGAACTGGCCTTTAGAGCATGTCTGAAAGAATCTTAGGGACTGTGGGTTGGAAGTGTTTCTTTGGGAAAAGCAGATATCTGGATTGATCATGTAATGTCTGGGCAGTGTTCAGGATTGAGCTTTGAAGGAAGTGGGTACAGACTTAAATACAGAGGAACACATGCTATGCCATTTACTTCCATTAATTGGATAAGCTGTGTTTGTCCTCAAACAGATACAACTTGCTAGGTACACAGTACCACAATAAGTGGTTGTAGCTTTGGGATTTTTCCACTATGAGAAGGAAGACAAAAGTATTCAAAGTCATGCACATATCCAACAACAGTTCACCAGTGAACTGTGTCCCCAGCCCAGCTGACTATATTTTTAAAAATCTTTTAAAAATTAATATATTTGGGGGTTTATAACTTTTTTTTCTTTTTTTTTTTTAAACAGTGCTAGGGATTGATCCCAGGCCTGTAGTCAAAGAAACTAACATCTATTATTTTCACATAGATCTTTTGTGTGTGTACATGTAGGGAAAGTACCTTAAATTTACTCTCTTAGCTGATTTCTGGCATACAGCATTAACTACATTCTTCATGTTCTTTTTTGCATGTTTTATATAAAACATGAAATACTGAAAATTAAACTATGTGATATACAATATACCTCCAGTATGTTGAAGGTACTGGCCTAATAACTAAAGAGCTAATGTCTTCTTTTATTGAAGGACTATTGGAAATGTACCTCCTGCAATGAAATGAATCCTCCCCTTCCACCTCACTGCAACAGATGTTGGACCCTTCGTGAGAATTGGCTTCCGGAAGATAAAGGGAAGGATAAAGGGGACATGCCTGAAGAAGCCAAACTGGAGGCAGAAGGCTTAGATGTGCCTGATGGGAAAAAAGCTACAGCGAATGATTGTAAGGAGTCCTGCACTGAGGAAAGTGATGATAAGGAAATATATACCTCCCAGTCACAAGAGAGTGAGGACTATTCCCAGCCGTCAACGTCCAGCAGCATTGTTTATAGCAGCCAGGAAGATGTCAAAGAGTGGGAGAAGGAAGAGACACCAGACAAAGAAGAGAGTGTGGAATCTGGCTTCTCTCTTAATGCCATTGAACCATGTGTGATTTGCCAAGGGCGGCCTAAAAATGGTTGCATTGTTCATGGCAAAACTGGACATCTCATGTCATGTTTCCCATGTGCAAAGAAGCTAAAAAAAAGGAATAAGCCCTGCCCAGTGTGCAGACAACCAATTCAAATGATTGTGCTAACTTATTTTAGCTAGCTGACCTGCCCATAAAAATAGAATTCTATATTTCTAACTATATATAACTCCCCAGATTAGGTTTTATTTTTTATCTGCATACACTAAAACGAGAAAAGTGTCTCAGTCCATGTAAAATTTGTTGTACAATTTATCTCCTTTGGAGTAAGAATATTTCCTTCCTTTGGGATAACTTCACTTAATTATATTTTACATTGAGGTTTTGATATAATCTGCATTGGCCATGTAGCTCCTTTTTCATTTTCCTTATGTTTTAAATAATTTCCACTTGGACTGACTGTTGGAAGTGAAATGAGTCCTCTACTACTGCAAATGATGATGGCTCTTTCTGAGGAGTGGCTCCATAAGAAGTATTTGATTTCCTTTTTTTCCTCTACAAAGAACATTTAATTTATTTAGTACCTCTCATGTAAGGAGTTAAAAACTGTGTGAAGGATTAAATATTTAAGTTATTGAAATTCTGAAATTCTTTAGGTCTCCAGTGGTTATGGGCTGGAGAGATGATGCAGTTGGTAAAAAGGCACTTGCTGTGTAAGCCTGATGGATGACATAACTTTGCTCCCTGGGACCCCAAGAACCAAGTTGTTCTCTGAACTCACACCTGCCCCGTGTACACACAATTTTTTTTTAAAGGTACGAGTGTCTGGTGATATGTAAGTAAAAACACGCACCTTATTTTCCAGCTTTTTGTCATGCGGAGTAGTGGACCAGGTGATGATGCAATGTTCTCCAAGGTTGAGAATTCTTAGGCCCTTAGAAAGCTCCTCCTTGGGCTCAGCTCCATGGTTCCTGATGTTGCCTAAGGATCCAGCTGTACTTAGGCTATGTTTAGAAACCATTCAGAAAGACTTTAAAACACACATAGTATTTTAATATGATTTCTCCATCCATGTAGATTAACCGCTTGATTCATAATAGGAATCTTTCCCTTTGATCAAAGGGCCCAGTATTTTTCACATGCTCAAGTATAGAAAATAAAATCATCTGGACTGTAAGTTTAGAGTAACCAAAGGATAGTTTTGTACTAGTTGATTTATGCATTGAAAACAATAAACACTCCTCCCCATTAGTAAGCATCTCACATCCAAGGAGGAGAACCAGTGAGGAGTGAGTCTTGAGCTTTGGCACCCTGTAACCCAGTGAAGCTTCACTCTTTGGATTTGTAATTCCGAGACTATATCCTTGGGGAATGCTAGTCTCTTAATGTTTAAGTGTGCTATAATACATTATTTATTTGCAAATAAATGGTTTATTAAATATTTAAAGAATTATATCGAGAGCTTCATTAAATCTTATGTTTTTCATAACAATCTACATGGCTGACAAGTCTGAATATCTCTGCATCTGGCTGTACTTTCCCACTTTGCTGTGATGCCATCTGGAGCCACCAGGCACTGAGTAAGAAGTAATGCTGCAGTTTAAGAGGGGCAAGAATGAATGCTGTTTTCACTATGCTGCTTGTGGGTCCATCAGGTGGCAGACTGGCTTAGGTAGTGTTTGTCTTGGTGGCAGTGAATGGTATAGTATAACCTTATTGAAATTGCTTTCTTTGAAACTAAATCCTAGGAAGCCAGGAATGTCTTGTCACAGCTTTATAGGTGCTCATCAGGAATTGACCGAATGGGGCTGGTGATTGAACCGAGTGCGCCCATGAGCTCCTCAAGTCAATTCTCTAGCACTGGGGGAAAAGTAATTTAGTTTGTCTTGAGACCTGGGTCTCGAGGATAGCCACACAATAGCAGCATGCAGACTTAGAACCCCAAACTGAATCCTCCTAAAAAAGTAATTGCATCAGTCTTTGGGACTTTAGAGGTTTAAGTCTAGAGACCAGGAGAGGCCTGGCACAGCCACCTGGAATAGACATCAGCTTAACAGGATTCTTTTTATCTATATCTATCTATCTATCTATCTATCTATCTATCTATCTATCTATCTATCTATCTATCTATCTAAACAGGATTCTTTAGGACTCATTTGTGACTAGCCATTTCCAGGACCCAGCTAGGGAGCCCTGATCCTGTCTGCTCAAATTCATGGTCACAGGACAAGGTGGTCACAGGTCCCTTTGTGTTTTCTCTCCCTGGTAGATGGTTGCTTCCTTCTGTTCCCTTCTTCCTCAAGCTATGAGATGAAGTGCATTGTGCCTGCAATTGGACATCCAGGATGTTGACAGGCAATGAAAACAGCTATGCAGACTTTTTTTCTCCCAAATTACAAAGAAGACTTTTTTTTTTTTTTTGTTTTTCGAGACAGGGTTTCTCTGTTGTTGCTTTGGGGGCTGTACTGGAACTCACTTTGTAGACCAGGCTGGCCTCAAACTCAGAGATCCGCCTGCCTCAAGGTGTGAGCCACCAACGCCCTGCTGAAGACAACTTAAAATATGAAAAAATACTGTTGGTATAAAAATTATCCCTCCCTAAAAAGTTCTGTGAAGACTGGTCTTTTAAGACTCAGGTCAGAATTGTAACATAGAAAAGATTCCTCCACACCCTTTATATATTCCCCTTCCCATTTACGGACTTTTTTTTTTTTTTTTTTGGTTTTTGAGACAGGGTTTCTCTGTGTATCTTTGAACTTTGGAGCCTATCTCTGGAGACCAGGCAGTCCTCGAACTCACAAAGATCCGCCTGCCTCTGCCTCCCAAGTGCTGGGATTAAAGGCGTGTGCCACCAATGTCCAGCGACTTTTATTTATTTTTTTAAATAAAAAGTTTTCCAGAGTTAGCATGGAACTATGACTTGGAAGCAGCATGTCAGGAGGGCTGAGCTCAAGCACCCATTAGCGGTAGACTTCTAATTGCTACTGGAATAGCTCAGGAAGAGAAGTTGCTGGCTGGCAGTGCAAAGAATTAGCCCAATTTCACTGAAAAAACTGCAAACAACAATTCTTTATTGTTGGACACAATAAAGTTGGTGCTTTTATTTTGACATAGTTAATGAGTTGCATTTTTTTCCCCATTACAAAAGCAACAGGGAAAATTTGGAGGCTGGGGTTTCAGTGCTGGAGAGAATTCAGCCCTCACACTCATGAAAGAAATGGGGGAAGAAACAGTTCTACTATCCAGAAACCATTTATAGTTTGATTTTTTTTTCTGGCTTTCTCTTACACCTAATTATGGTGATATCTTTCTTACACAAAGCCTGTCTCGGGGTCAGAGAATGGAGCTTGCCACTAGCTAACCATAGAGGTCTGGAGGTCTGTATAGACACACAGGAAGTGACGAAGCTGGGCAGAAACAGGATATAAGTGGGGAGAAACAGGAAATCACTCCCTTGTCTGCTGAGATGCTAAGGAGGTGTACAGTGTATTGTGGCTTGTACCTTCTCTCTGATCTCTCAGCATTTCCCTCTATATCTGACTCCCCGCTTTTTATTATCTAGACCAATTAACTCCATTTACACCTGTTTTTAAATTCTAGCATAGGGCTGGCTTATTAGGGAAAGCTAAGCCTCAGACTGTTTAATCCCGGAACTCACTTGGTGGAAGGAGAGAACTGACGTCTGCAGGTTGCCCTCTGACCTCCACATGTGCACCATAGAGTGTGGACATGCATTGTGTATGTACAAATGTAATAAAAAATTTAAAGACTAGTTCATCTTAGAACTGCTTTGTCCTCTGTGAGGTGGATTTGTAATGGATGTTTCAATAGTGGCAATGACCTGATTTCTACTGTCTGACCAAAAAATCACCAGCATGTGAGTTTTTTTTCCTGTAGCCCTGGCTTCCCTCACTCTGTTGACCATGCTGGCCTCGAACTCAGAGATCCACCTGCAGACCTCCTGAGTGCTGGGAGTAAAGGCTGGCGCCACCACTGCCTGGCCCAATTAGCAAGATTTTTATAGATGAGGTTAGGACCCTTAAGTGCCCCAGATCCTTCTGGAAGCAAATTTCTTGTTCACAACTATGCTGTGTGTCTCAACAAAAGGACTGGGGAGAGCCAATAAAACTTGCTACTCAGGGCAATTTTTTTTTTTTGATTCCTCAAAATGTGTTTGGAAATCTAAGATTATACTAGGCTTGTGATTTACTCGAAATGGTTCCATGGCTAAGTGTACTTGGGAAGTCGGTTTCTCTCCTGCATGACTTCTCAAATCCTTTATTATGTTACTGTGAATCTCCCAAAAGTGTTTCGTTTCTATGATGTTGGAGAGTGAATCCAGGCCTTGTGCAAGCTTGGCAAGCATTTCCACACTGACCTGCACCCTTTGCCTCAAATTAGTTTTGATCAGAAAACACTCTTGCCTACACACAGTCACACAATTCAAATTAACTTGGAATATGTCACAAATAGCATACACTGTCCTGGAAGGACCATGTGGACTTTTGGGAATACTGTTGAAACATTCTTTTTTAAGATCTTAAATTTGGTCTCTCCTACAGTATATTTGATGGCAGTCTTTTCTAGTTTGTAGATTTTGTTATGTTTGCAAACAAAGTAATGGAAAGAGCATTCACTATATGAATATTCTTTATTGATAAACAGATAATGTAAATTTAATAAGCTCAGAGGTAGTCATGACCCCTCCACAGCCAATGTTACAGTCTTAGACAATCTGAGCATATTTATTTTTATTTTTTTGAGACATAGTTTCTCTGTGTAATCCTAGCTGTCCTGGAACTCCCACTGTAGACCAGGCTGGCCTCGAACTCACGGAGATCTGCCTTCCTCTGCTTCCTAAGTGCTGGGATCAAAGATGTTCGACACCACCACCTGGCTCAATCTGAGCATCTTGCTACTTCTTTTAATGAGAAGAATCACTAAGAAGCTTGTAATAAAAAACTAGCAAGAAGCCGCTTGCGAAAGGCTGTGGGGTGGCTTGTATGCTAAAATACGATAAAATGGTCTCTGAGTAACACAGTACAGCATGTGCTTATTAGTGATGTAGGGTCTAGAACAAACCCAGGGGGGTGAAATATGGTGTAGGCGTCCAGAACACAGTGTTCTTTACCTAATCTAGCCATTACCCCCGCCTCACCCCCGGGTCGGTAGGAAGGCAGAAGTGAGCTCATAAACAACCACTAGGTTGCTGCCTCACAGAATGAGAGTCAAACTTCTATTGCAATAGGAGAATACCCATGTGATGCAGATTTGTACACATTTCCTAGAAATAGATACTTCTCCACCCAGTGTGACTTCATACATTGGAAAGTAGAGCTAGCATACACCATTTTGAGAGACAAATTACATGTAAAAATTTGCTTCTGGAACAGAGCATGGCATTGATTCTTGAAAGACACTGAGAAGTGAATAGAGTAGACCAACCATTTCTGTTGTGCTCGGCAGTCTATTGAGTGAAAAACAAAGCACCAACTTATTGTTTCTCTAAACATCCTTCACTACTCATTTATCTTATTTATTTACTTATTTTGAGACAGGATCTCGATTATGTAGCTCTGTCTATCCTGGGACTCACTCTATAGACCAGGCTGGCCTTAAGAGATCCACCTGCTTCTGCCTCCTGGGTGCTGGGATTTCACCCATCTCAATTTGAATAGGCACACAAGTGAGCTAGGTCACTTTGTGAAGAGTTTCCTTGAAAATGACATGATTCTTGCTAACCAGTCTTTCAGTTTGCAGCTCACCTTTAATACGGTGTTCTGCCTTCAAAATAGTTACTCACCAAATATTAGTTGTGCTTTTTCAACCCGGAGGAGCACCAGAATGTAGTCTACCACCACTGTGTCAACAGTCAGGACCACTGGGGAGCATGTGTCGTCATCATTAGACTCCTGCACTGTTCCGATATACAAAGTAACCCTTGTTACATTGTATATCTGAACTTCAAAGTATCCAACAGGTTAGAGGACACAGGGACAGGTGTTGTGGAGATTTGAGGACCCAGACCATAGAATAATTTCACGTTCATGTTTTGTTTTGAGGGTGGGATAGTTACTGGAGATCGAACCCAAGACTTTGTGTATGCTAAGCACACTATCACCGAGCTGCACCCCTTACCCTGTTTAGTTTATTTTTCCATTGGGTTTTGATACAGATTTCTGATCTAAGTAATGTTACCTTAAGATGTACATAGTGGTCCAGACTATAACAGCTACTTCGGAGGCTAAGGCAGGCAGACTCAAAGCCAGCCTGGAGTATGGTGAGTTCCAAGCCCAGCCTACACAATTTAGTGAGACCCTGTGTCAAAACAAAAAGTAATAAAAGAAGTAGCTATGGCTCAGTGGAAGAGCACTTTCCCCATGTGTGTAAAGCCCTGGGGCCAGTCTCTAGTAAGACACATCCACGTGCAAGTTATTTCAATAACCAGTTTGCTGTTAGGCCCATGAGCCAATTCAGAAAACAGCTCATTTCCTTTAAAAACTACCCTAGAAAAGGGTCAGTCAGAATTCAGACCCCACTCCCACCCCCCATGGCAAATGAAGTTTGCTCTTACAAATTTTATTGTTTTTGTTTTCCTAAGATGGATCTCATTTATAGTCCAGGTTGGTCTTGAACTTGTGTCAGTCTTCTTGTCTCAGCCACCACACCTGGCTTTACATTTATACTTTAAAGGTAATATACCCAAACCAGTTTCTGAAATATTAAGATATAAGCTAATGATTATTTAAGTAAAATGATCAAGATATTCATGCTCTTTTCAAATTTAGAAGTGGTTAAAAACTTCAAATGCTACAGATATTAAAATAGAGAATAAGTTTGGCACCGAGAAAGGGCATCAAGGGGCCCACGGATCTCTTCGGCTCTTTAGAGTCTCAAGCCTTCACCATGTACCAAGCCCGGAATGGTTTCACAGCTGTGCAGGGCTTATGACCAAAGAACCAGATGACGCAATCCCATGGAAAATGCACTCAGAATCCTGCACACCAGAGCTTACTGATTTTCCTGTTTGAGCTTCATCCTTATTTAACTATTTTTGAGACAGTGTCTCTCCCTGTGTAGCCCAGCTGGCCTGGGGTTCAGAGATCCACCTGTCTCTGCCTCCTGAGTGCTGGGGTTAAAGGCGGCACCACTGCACCCAGCTTTTAATTCTCACAATGAATTAGAATAAATTTACTTCCACAGGGGGGCGCTTCGACTTCAGACTGATTGTAAGAATCATTTTTGTGGTCTAGAAGGTAGTTTGAAGAGCGTCTAACAGCTAGCAAACGCCCTCCCACCACCCTTCCAGTGCCTTCACCCCCATCTATCTTCGGATTGTTTTCCTTGATGTATCCATGAAAATCTCTCTCTCTCTCTCTCTCTCTCTCTCTCTCTCTCTCTCTCTCTCTCTCTCTCTCTCTCTCTGTGTGTGTGTGTGTGTGTACACTAGTGAGCTGGATGTTGCCAAATGTAAAACTTATTTTCATAAAACTGCTCAAATCCCTACAGTTCTGGAAAGGTCTGTAGCAGGTTGCTGAAACACCTCCCCCACCCCATTCATTTCCTGTTTTGTGCTAGGCTCTGAGGATACCGGAGTGAACTTTTTCAACAAGTAGATCCTGGACTCAAAGCGCCCATGCCAGACTAGAGAAGGCCAGCATGAAGTAGCTAGCACCACTGTGCTGTAAACTAGTAACCAAGACAACCACTTCATTTGAAGGGTCCGAGAGGAGCGGCCTTGACCCAGATCGCCCGGCATTTCACGGAATAGGAAATGCAAGTCTCCCTGGTTGAAGAAGGTACTTGGAATGGAGTTTTACTGAGTGGGAAACAGATGTGGCACAATCAGAATGGCACACAGATCTGGGACGGCGAGCACCGCCTTGTGTTTAGGGAGCGGAAGGGCTTTTGGGCAGCCCCCCTCCTCCAGTACTGTGTGGAAGATGGACCTGGCAAAGAGATACCCATGAGCAAGAGACGGTGGCGCTGGGTCAGCGGTGAGGGGGAATCACTCGTGTGGAGAGGACAGGATGCATCAACACAGCAGCTTTCAGTGACTCACTGGCTGGATACCCAAAACGAAGAAAGCGTCAACGGGGACTCACGAAGCAGGACCAGCCTTCGCGTGGTATCTCAACTGTCAATAGGATGAGGTCAAGTTCATACGGGTCATATCCGAGTGGGCGTGTCCAGTGAGCAGCTTGCTGAGCATCTGGGACTCCAGCATGAGGCTAGGATTACATACGAGGTGTCATCTTGGTCGGACTGTGGCATCGGGTGCAGGGAGGCAAGGACATTGGCACCGGAGACAGAGGCCATTTCACTTCAGGCATGTTTGCCCATTTCCTCTCACTTCTCCTTAGAACACTGGAAAAGTCAGTGCTCTCAGTCCGGTTACCTAGGAATCTCTTCCTTTAGGGAGAGCCACTTCTACGTGGTGTTAGTTCTTCACAAAGAGCACTCATGGCATGGTCACACATAGTAGGTGATCAGGAAGTGTTCATCATCGCTGCTCAGATCCATTGGCCTTTCTGTATACAAAATTAACTTTTTTTTTTTTTCCTTCTAGGGATGTCTGTTTTGCTTCTCAAGTTTCTTGCAAATTTCTGGTTCTATTTCAGGATGGAGTTTCATGTAGGCGGCACTTGCTAGGCAGTGACCTCCAATCATCCAGACTGAAGATCACTTTTGTCATCGGATGCTGCTCTCAGCTGGGTTTGGAAACATCCAGTTTTCCCCTTAGGGAAAACAGTGGTGTTTATCCCATGGCAGTCTCGTAAGAGGGACAGTTGCCATCACCTGGAGTAACCAATCCCTGATTCCAGGTGGTGATGGGGCTTGAGTTTCACATTTGACTTTATTTGAAAAATATGTGCAAAAGAGTCAAGAGGAATACATACAAAGTAGGCTTTGTTGCAGCTGTGTGGTTTGGCCTTAGTTTATACAGAGGAACCATTGGGCACGAAAGATCTGATACGAGGATGGAATCCAGTTGCACTCGAAACGGGAGGTGGAAATCCTTTTTAAGAGCACCGAGGGTCTGGGAATTCCTTGGGATAGTCAGCTTTGTGAGGTGCGGGTCATGCCCAGGGACTGTAACCTGAGAAGGAACAAGAAACCATCCCATGAGTGATCTCAGATGCGTGTGGAGCCGTGCTGAAGACACAGTTCTCCACCACTAGCATGTAGCCTTTG